AGCCCCGGCCCCTCACCGAGATGGCGTCCTTGGTGCACGTGTCGATGATGGGCTGTAGCAGGTTGTCAAACTCGTTCATGTCTAGTTGGGTCTCCTCTAGAAGCTTCTGCATCTGCTGTTCCACCGCGTGGGCCACAGCTGCTGTCACTTGCTCCTGGGTTGGGGGTCAGTGGGGCCAAGAACACATGAGGAGGGACCCGCAGCCCGAGCCCTCCGGCCTGGCCCAGCAGGGGCGGGGTGGGGACCTGGTGGGGATGCCCCGACGCTGGGCTGCTCTGGCCATCAGCTCCCTTGCTTGTCCCCAGCACGAGGAGATTCTGTCTCTCATGCCTGCCATGAATCTGTGACAGTCCCTCCCAGAGTGGGCAGGGCACTGACAGGACATACCAGGAGAGAACACCTGCCCTCCAGGTAGCCAAGGAAAATACGGCAGCCCAGAGGAACAAACAACCTCTGCAAACCAACTTAACAAAAAACAAAGGCGGGGCGCGGTGGCTCATGCCTGTAATCTCCGCACTTTGGGAGGCTGAGGCAGGAGGATCGCTTGAGCCCAGGAGCTCCAGACCACCTGGGCAACATAGCGAGACCTCATCTCTACAACAAATAAAATACAAATTAGTTGAGCATGGTAGCGTGTGCCTGTGTTCCCAACTACTTGGGAGGCTGAGGCGGAAGGATCGCTGGAACCTAGAAGTTCAAAGTTACAGTGAGCTTTGACTGTACCGCAGCACTCCAGCCTGAGTGACACAGCAAGACCTTGTCAACAACAACAACAACAACAACAACCAAAAAAAAAAAAAGAAAAGAAAAAGGAGGGATGGTGTGAACAGGCAATAGAGGGAGAGGACACACCCATGGCCTCTAGTGAAACAAAAAGGGAGCAATCTCATTCCTCAATAAGAAACGCAGGTTAAAGTGCAACTGGTAAAAACAGAGCTGCCATGGGGACCAGCAGTCAGTCAGGGCTGGTCAAGGCCAGCCTCCCACTCCATGATGAACTCTGGCAGAAGCTGAGGGTGAGCCTTCTGGAACTTTCTTTTTTTTTGAGACAGAGTCTCGCTCTGTTGCCCAGGCTGGAGTGCAATGGCACAATCTTGGCTCACTGCAACCACCTCTGCCTCCCGCGTTCAAGCAATTCTCCTGCCTCAGTCTCCTGAGTAGCTGGGACTACAGACACCTGTCACTGCGCCCAGCTAATTTTTGTGTTTTTTAGTAGAGACGGGGTTTCACCATATTGGCCAGGCTGGTCTCAAACTCCTGACCTTGTGATCCACCTGCCTTGGCCTCCCAGAGTGCTGGGATTACAGGCTGAGCCACCACATCCAGGTAGAACTTTCTGAGAGCAATATGACAGTGTGATTTTACACCCTGAACCTAGTACAAAGAATGAGGCTGGTGTTTTGGAGGTTTGGTATTCTATTCCTCTCGTTTTTCTGGCAATGCACCTGTATTCTTTTATTTATTTTTCCAAGACTGAGTCTTGCTCTGTCACCTAGGCTAGAGTGCAGTGGTGTGATCTCAGCTCATGCAACCTTTTCCTCCCAGGTTCAAGCAATTCTCCTGCCTCAGCCTCCCAAGTAGCTAGGATTACAGGCATGCACCACCATACCCAGCTAGTTTTTGTATTTTTCGTAGAGACGGGGTTTCATCATGTTGGCCAGGCTAGCCTTGAACTCCTGACCTCATGATCCGCCCATCTCAGCCTCCCAAAGTACTGGGATTACAGGTGTGAGCCACCACGCCCAGCCAATGCACCTGTATTCTATCTGGCAAAAGTTATCAAACTGTTGGACCAGGAAGGACAAAAGGGTCCTTCTGGCCAGGTGGATCCCCTGAGGTCAGGAGTTTGAGACCAGCCTGGCCAACCTGGTGAAACCCCATCTCTACTAAAAATACAAAAATTAGGCGGGTGTAGTGGTGCATGCCTGTAATACCAGCTACTCTGGAGGCTGAGGCAGGAGAATCGTTTGAACTCGGGAGGCAGGGACTGCAGAGAGCCGAGATTGCGCCACTGCACTCCAGCCTGGATGACAGAACAAGACTCCATCTCAAAAACAATAATAATTTAAAAAAAGGGTCCTTCCTCAACCAACAGCTCCAGGTGACCTAGCTACTGTGTAGTGGGGCCAATGGTAGGCACCAGAGACTGTCTAGCCACAGCTGTTAGGGAGCTTCAAGGGGCACACATCTCCCACAGTCCCACTCGGGGGGTCCACCCCAGGGTGATGGGTGCACGCATGTCCACAGGCTTCACTGAGATGAGAAGCAGCCTCCGTGTCTGGCATCAGGGCTGGGGGAGACAGTGGCTGACATGCACCAAGCCCTGGGTGGCAGGGCGGGCCCTGTCCTCACTGACACCTGTTATTCATTCTGGTGAACAGACGCAAAAACAGAGGCACAGGGGAGTTGCCGGTGCCTGGCTGAGGAGGGTGGGCCCGTACCTGTCTGAGCGCCAGCAAGTGCTGCTCCTGCTGCTGGAGGTTCCACTGGCTCTGCTGGATGAGCTCGTCCATGGACGGTGCGCCCTGGGCCGGCGGGATGGGCGCGGCGGGGGCCAGCGGGGGCTGTGGCAGGGGCGGCATGGCGGCAGCTGGCTCCAGCTCTGGGGTCTGCTGCTTGCAGATGACTGGAGGGAGAGGAGGGGTGTCCCGTGAGAACGCAGATGGCGGTCTAGGTGTCCCCTTGGCCACCTCTCAGTCACAGGAGCCTCCCTCTCCCCAGGGACTCACCATCCACAAGGGCCTGTGCACAGCCTCGTGCCCACACAAACCCAGCTCCTCCTACTCTTGGGCCCTGCCCTCCCTCTCACAGGATCCCAGCCTCGGCCTTCCATCTTTGGGCTGTCCCCTCCTCGGAGAACCTAGGAAGTCCCCGGCCACTCTTGCCAGCACCATCCAGTCCTCGCACAGTGTCCTTCCGGCGCAAGTTAAGCCTGAGCCTGCCCACCTCCTCACCCACCTAGGCCCCATTTGGCAGAATCCACGCCCTGTCTCTTATACACATCTAGATGTGTATAAGAGACAGCCCCGGCCCCTCACCGAGATGGCGTCCTTGGTGCACGTGTCGATGATGGGCTGTAGCAGGTTGTCAAACTCGTTCATGTCTAGTTGGGTCTCC